TAGTTGAGATTATCAAGTCTAATTTTTAAGTCTAGTTTTTAAATCCATCTAACATCAGCTTCTGCAAAAATCCACATCATGGAGTAATTATTTCCACGGGAATTTTTCTGTAATGAATTGGGGGTAGAGATCTTATTCGATGATGAATCTGAAACAACTAAAAAAGTCAAAAAAAGGTCGAGTGAACACCCGACTTATTCCTTCTAAAACTTAAGTCAATAAGCATTTAGAGGCTTGAGCACAGTGTTTCTTTTTTCCAATTTTGTTTGCATACTTTTTTTTCATCTTTCTGAGGAGTATTTATACCTGAACCAACAATGAATGCAGGGGTTTGAAGTCTCATATCAATATTTAATGACTTGCACTCTTATCTATGCGTAATGAGTGTTTTTCACTCAGATTCCCACGACCAGTCCACTCGGGTGATATGGTGACAGCTTGGGGCACGGCGAACAGGGTGATATGGTGACAGCTTGGGGCACGGCGAACAGTTATGACCCTATCTCTAGTCATTTAAGTCCATCTGATTGGTATTTGACACTTCCTCCCGAGTGTTTAATGTTCGAAGAATAGTATTTTGGAGTTTCCCGAGGACATCTGGTCAGCACAAACGACCAGTAATGTTTTGTCAATTACGACTGCTAATTTGGGTCTCATGTATGCATAAGCTCATTAATAGCTTTGTTACAGTCACTCATCTTCTCATTAATAAGTTGTCATATCTCATTAAATATTGGTTTCAGCCTATGTACTCAACTCTTTCGAGTCATTACTTATCGCCGCTGTCTCCCGATGCCTTTTGAGCTCCATAACAATTTTGTCTATCCATGTGTCAGTTTGGGGACGGTTGAGTCGTCAAAAGTCCTGTCATTATTCCTGATTTTATTCAAGAGTGTTTTTCCATGTATATGCAATCATACTAATAATAGCCCATTTGCAACTTTCATATTTGAAAATCTCTCTATTACAATAGTTGCAATTCATAATAGGAAAATTTTGATCTACACCCCCTCTAAATGGATTTATTTTTAATGATATCCCTTGCCTTTTCTGAAATTTCACTCCACTTCCTTATAGTTTATACGTCCTCTTCACCTAAACTCTCTATTGTAACCACATGTTACAGACTATCATAAATGTGTTGATGTTATTTCAAAATTTTTATTAAATGTCAATTTTACCCTTTGTATTCCCCATAAAACCCTTGTTTCACCCCCCTTTCTCTANTTAATTATTTATTTTTTATGTATAAATATTAATTTCTATAAAAAAAAAATAGATTGATCATGTTACCCTTAAAAAAATATGTACCATTATATTTTCAATTAAGTATTCAAAAAAATTTTAAAAACTCTATCAATCTAATATTATTCATATCATATACAAAGATAATACTATGCCCACATATGTGTATTTTTTTTTATTAAAAAGTTTAATCCTTTCATATATAGTTTTTTAAAATTAATTTATGTTATATAAGTATAATTTTTCAGTCAAAATAAACTTTCTAAGTTGTATTAATATTTTATATAAAAATAGATATTACAGTAGTAAAACTTAAATTTTTTAAAATTTTAATTTGCTTGATAATATATATTATAGAGTAGTATATTAAATATTATCTTAATTGACCTAACTAATTCCTAATTACAATGAGGTTTCAATGTAATTAGTATATTGACAATTACTTTTATTTTATTCAATAAATTATAAATGGAATCCTAATCAAACGAATTCAAGAAATTTAATTTCTTAAACATCACTAACAAATCAATCTCAGTCACCAAATTTAAAAAAAATATAACTTTAGCTATTTTTTTTATAATTAGAACAAAGAATATTGAGAATACACAAAATTTTCATAATCTCATAATAGAATATGAATAATGAAAAATTAAGTTTGATAAATTTGAGATGATATGTAATTTAAATACACATATATGTAATATGTTTTATTAATTTTTATACATAAAAATTATTTGCATACATTGCAGGTGGTGCATTACTAATAATTTCTTCTTTTGAAAGAAAAAAAAAAGTTGAATATGTTCAGTAAAGTAAAGAACGTTTTGGGATGTGTAGGTGAACAATATAATAACGGCCACGTTTGGCTTTTTCGTCTCCCATTAAAAGTGTCATTCCATGCGACCAAACTATTCAATGTTATTGTGTCATTATGGTAATAATGTGATATAACTAATTTTGTTAATTAAGAGTAATGTTAGATAAAATTAAAAATTAGATTTAAAAATTAGATTTGATAATTTTAACCATTAATTTTACTCTGGGCCCCAGCATTTATTGGGACCTATTATCTATTCAGTAGTTGAGATTATCAAGTCTAATTTTTAAGTCTAGTTTTTAAATCCATCTAACATCAGCTTCTGCAAAAATCCACATCATGGAGTAATTATTTCCACGGGAATTTTTCTGTAATGAATTGGGGGTAGAGATCTTATTCGAT